TTTCGTTTAATTGTGTACGGGTGGACGTCATTTCTTCACAGTAATATTATTAAAATGTTAACGTATCGTAAAAAGTAAACAGAACGTCAAGTTTTGATATATTGATTTTTTAAATTTGGTTACACATGCAAATCGGGCGTTACTTTTTGGGGATACTGTACCAGCTACGCAAATCAAAAAACGCATATCCTAATATGACGATTCAAGATATAATAGCGAAAGAAACTGGCAAACAAAGAACCCACAAGTTAACCTCGAAAATAATGAAACCACAAAGGAAGGATATAAACTTAAACTGGGAGACAAGATAGCGCAAGGCATATACCTACAATTGGCAAAAATCGGAGAACTCTTTCCAGTCAACTCTCACGAAGAACTAAAGGAATCCACGCAAGGAGATCGAGGCTTCGGATCCACGGACCGACCAGTCATTATAAATTATTTATAATGAGTGTGTGAGGTTTAGAAGACTCTCGACATGCAAAGAAATGGTTATACCATATCAATAAGAAAGCAACTCGGAAAAAGATCACTGCTAAGATCACTGGAATTTAATCAATTATCTCCACCACAGTAAAATTGTACCGAGTTTCTTGAAACAAGTGGATAGATAAGAATTATGAGAGTCACAACTTTAATCAGCCACTTATTCTTATCAAATGTCACACACATCCACACTAATACCCCATAGAGGAAAGTAAAGGAATAACAACACTGTACTGACAAGAAAATGATCAAAAGGGATTATTTCTTGTAATTAAACAGGGAAATCTGTTAGACATCACGAGTATGCTAACTTTGCACGCGCAAATGTTCAATACTAATAATAGTGAACAACGAAAATGACGGGTACTTGACCAGATGGAAATTCTGCAAAACACATCCCTCAAGGACCAGAAGAAAACTACCACTTGCAAACGGGTTGGGAACACAAAAAAACTCGATTTTGGAAAGCTTACCTCCAAAGAAATCAGATGGGAAAACTGCCAAGATTATCATGAAAATACGACGAATTGTTTGCTGAACGATGGGTGGGAATAATAGACCTACAAAAATAATAGTGGAGATATGGTAATATCTGAACATGTGGTCAAAATAATTGAGTCATTGACACAATTAAGAGTCAAAGCCAGAGTAATTTGGCCACATATTTAGAAATGAATGAAAGAAATCACATTACGGAACAGCCACACAACACGCCAACCAGAAACTGTACTAGTAATATGTTCAACCTCTCAGGTAACGACGTACGTTACAGCCGGTAAAGGGTTAATTGTGGCGAGGACAAATTAACAATAAAAGATACTCAACTGATTCATAAAGGAATCCTCGAGGACTAGAGCTTGATATCTACTATCTGCAGTATGAATTCGCCATAGAAGTACAAGGTATACAACACAAGCAGTATAGAAAACGGTTCCATAAAAATGCGGAAGACTTTGAGAAGCAATTAATACATGATCAACTCAAGAGAGAACTCTGTGAAGGAAATTGGATCGTTCTAAGATACGTTTGGTATTACGAAGATCCGCATATAGTTATTCCAGAATTTCTTAAGGAGTTTGGACTTATTGACTAGTAAAATACCTATTATAGATCAAACTTTGCCTTATTTCATTCAACTCATTATAATGCATAATTTTCGTCACACTAGTCAAATAAAGATCAATCGTATGACCAAAAAATTGTGTAATTGTCATATAAATACCCCGATAAAATTTTTTTTATCATATTTTTTGTATTATTAGAATTTAGTCTTTACCATTTTTGGAACATTCATAACATATATATACAACGCAACTAACACCATGTATGATATCACCGTAATTATGGTATTTTGCCTCGTTCTAGGTGATGTTATTGGGAATTCTTTCCCAGTTGATATTGGTAGCAACATGACCGTTGGGCACCTCAAGGAGTTCATTAAGGAGAAGATGAGACCTCGTTTTGACTATATTCCCGCAAATGAACTGAGGCTATGGAAGGTGAATATTTCTATCGACGACAAAGACTTGGAAAATAAAATACATGCCGAAAATATCAAAGAACAACTCAAAGGTGTGGAGTTGTCTCCATTTAGAACTGTAGGAGAATATTTTAACGAAATACCCACAAACAATGACATCCATATTATCGTACAAGCACCTGCCACTACTGGTAAGTGTCTCTCAATATTCTACTTCTCAAACGAAGATGGTCTCGTTATTCTGTATCCCATATAACACATGGCGGTTCTTTTTATTTATTTACTTGCTTTTTAATGGACAAATAGGTCAAGAGCGTATTAATATACAAAATCATAATCTTGGTTATCTGCCTCGGCAAGGTATGCATAAGCTATTTTTAACCACTATGTTTATATTTCTAACTACTGCCTTTTTGTTAGATGGTCTTGGTGGTACAAAACTACTTTATTCGGCGAATCATGAAACTTTCGAGGGTATATCTCTTACCGACCCTGACATTAGCTATAGATCCAAAGTTGTATTTTCGTTAGTCGAAGAGCTTATAAAGAGAAAGATCATACTTGTCCGGGCTCCTCCCTACTCTGGAAAAACATCATTATCCCAGCTTATGGAATATCATTTGGTTAACTCGCCAGGATATTCAAAGTATAGAATAATAAGAGTTTCGATGCTTTGGGGATCAGTTGTGGGAGTGGATTGCAGTTGGGAGACGTTTGGAGAGCTATGGAAGAGGGTTATCGGTGTAAGTTGGATTGAATGGATAGGACAGTGCCAACGAGCTCCAACGATTTTAATATTAGACGAAGTTCAACTGATATACAAACAAGAGCGTGGAATTGACGAAAATAAGAAATCGAGTGCAGATGTATTTTGGAAAACTATCAAGGGTTGTCTTCAAGAAATGACAAACATTTATATTATTATGTTTGGAGCATACGTATATCATAGTGCCAACTCTGCAGGACTTTCGACTCCTGTTGAGATACCACCATCGAAATGCAAAGGTCTTATGGATATCAAATTTACTTACGAGGAGTCAAAAGAATATGTTGAAAGGTTCTGCGAAAAATACTTCCGATTAAACCCTCACGACGTCTCACAATTTAGTGAATATATTCAAACAACGACAGAGGGACATGTGGGTTTGATTTTTCACATATTGCGATATACAAAAGAGGCAATGGAGCGACGGATTCGTGAAAATGTGTTGACTTGGAAAGACATATTTGCGTACCTGAATTCACATGATTTCAATTTGACACTTGATGCATGCCGTGCTTCACCCAAAGTCAAAAGTTTTTCTCGTGAGCAATTGGTAATATGCGAACATGTTTACTTAAATGGGAAGATTCTTTTCAGACCTCACGATATGAACACTCAGTGTTTAGTCAAATCTGGCATTCTTGTGGTTAATGATGGACGTCTATATTTTTCAGCACCTCTCATTAAGCGATCATTTTTCCAGCAATGTTATGGAAGTCAATACAGTGCCGAAACTACACCTCCATCATTATATCATTTTATTGTGAAGATTTTCACAGCAATGTGTAATGGACAAAGCAGCAAAATTTTAAGAGATGGAAGCCCTTTAGAACAAACATTGCAAAAAGAATTTTATAGAATCGGAACACAAGTATTAGGGATGGGTCATTTTCTATCATGTGACGTGGGCGCAGTTTTTGGATGTGATGGATATATCGATTTTTATGTGGATAAGTTGGACTGGGCAATAGAGCTTTTGAGAGATGGTAAGGATATGACCGAACATAGTAGGAGGTTTGAACCTGCAGGAGAATATGAAGAGATTGTTAGATATGCGAAGAGTATAGCTATTATTGATATTCGCAGTGAATCGAAGAAGGTTCGAAAACTGCAGAAGGATTTCATACACGTATCATGCTCCGAAAATTATAATGCGTTCAAGATAGAATGTTTGGGCAAAGATCCTTTGACTGTTAAGATTCGAGATTAGCTGGGCATTTGTTTAATGTAATGTGCACATTCTTCATTGCCTGATTATGATAAAGTTGCATAAAATCTTGTAGGCATATTTTTGTTATTTTCAATTGAGAATATAAAAAATTGATTATGATAAAAAAGTAGCGGGCATATTTTTGTTATTTTCAATTGAGAATATAAAAAATTGATTATGATAAAGTAGCGGGCATTTAAAGGGAGGAATAACAGAGTTCCTTCCCGCTACTCTGAATTACTAGAAACTATATTTGCTTTGCTATCTATCCAAGCACCTATTTTATCTGTTTGCTACCTTGTAAATCATTAATTTGTGATAATAATATTTGATTGTATCTCTGCCAATCTTTCCCACACCAAGATCAAGATTATCAACCATTACAATATTACGTACACATACCATCAAAAGATCATCCTCTTTCTGCCATAATCCTATCAAAAATAATTTTAACTGATTCCAGATCTGGAAATGATACTAGAAGATGTTTCGGATTGATTTACATCACTTTGTTGGTCTGATGAGTTGTTGTCTCTAGGTTCTACTTCTTCGATAGGTTCGATTCTTTGATTAATCTCGTTTTGAAGTGTTACAATAGACTCATTGATTGATTCGAATTCGGATGCGACTCCACCAAAATTATTATGATGAGTTTGAAGGACTCGTAGTAGAAGTATTAAGCAATGTCAAGATTCTTTGAACCTCTGCTGTGAATCTTTCGTCGCGTGAAGTAAGTTTAGCGTTAAATTTGGCATGGTGATCGGCGAGTATCGGACATCACGTGCAGAAAGATCGGCGTTGTACTTGATATCGCGGACGTTAAGTCGGAATTATGCTTGATCTATAGAAATTTTCTCAACGAACATCAATACTCTGGCGAAGTCCAAAAATGGAGCGATACCCGAAACAGTAATCGACGACATCTATAAACGGAAGTTGGTCTGTTAGCATATACTGTATACTTAGTGATCTATGGAAAGTAACAGCACCAGGATGTAGGGGATTGTCCGAACACGTGTTCTAATGATTACATATTTTGATGATCACTGGTCCGGAACTATCATCCAACATACCCTTAAAATCATGCACCAATCAAATTGCAAGATCAATGTGTAAGGCAAAAAAATGAAAACAAACGTTTACTTTTGAAAAAGAGCTTTTATCTTGAAATTTTACTTATGAAACAACCATTTGTGTTCTAACAAAAAAAATGTTCCATGCGAAATTTACTATATTTAGCGTTTTCGTTTGCTATACAATAACCTTAACCCTAAACCTAAACCTAACCCTAATCGAAAATTTATTTTTTTACCGTGGCTAGGGTATGTAGTTCCAACGGCCGAACGTGTCAGATCACATATTCTGACAATTCCCCTACATCCTGGCGATTTCCCATTCGGTTTTACGATCGGGATTTGAGGCAAGCCATTTTTCGATATTCCGAAAAATGAATCAAATATTTCAACCAACAAAATGTGCAAATTGAAAAAAAATTCGAAGATACTCACACTTTGTTTTTATTAGATTTACATAAATATGAACTGTCAAATATTTTTACGGATTTCTCGAATTCTTCCAAGTATAATTGTAGGTCATCTTTATTCAAATGAATACTTGTAATGTTGTATCAACGTAAAAGGCAATATCATAAGAAAAACTTTTTTGTTACTTATCGATATCGATATGCAATATACGTACGTACTGAATCCACCAGGGCGCCACCGAAAGTTCGGGCCACGTAACATTTTTTGATGATGTCAGCGATAATGACCAATTAAATTGCAAGATCAACTTGTAACACAAAAATTCAATATATAAACATTAATAAGCTGTGTAAGGTCAGACATTAATCTGTTTTGAATTTGATGATATGTTATATGTATACGGTGAGCACTGTATTTTTTATATGCAAGTGACTCTTGTTATAGTAAAGACTATTAGTAAAAATTAACTATAACGAGAAGATTTATTATAAACTGTTATGTACTGAACTTAACTATATCAAGGTTTTAATTAGTCTTTACTATAGCTAGAGTTTACTATAAAAAATATTAGTATTGTACAGTGCAGGTAGCCTAAAGAACACCAATAAAAAATGCTACTAGTTTGTATAATGTTTCTATTGAGATAAAAATAAGTAAAAATTTTTGCTGAGAAATGCTATGATTGTTATTTATTTTCATCTCAATAGAAACATTATTGACCAACTAGTAGCATTTTTTATTGGTGCTCTTTAGGCTGCCTACACTGTAGTGAAATTTATATAACAATCTCACTGCCACTATTATCGCCGGTGACTGTACATGTGATCAAGCCAAACCTATAGTTATCGTCGAAAATGAAAAACTCTAAGGATTAAGGTTTCGGCTGAAATTGATTGTGCAGTGCAACATAATTATTGTGTCGACGGATTAAAATGAAATCAGATTAAAACGAACAGGGTGGGATGTTTGAATAATCATAGGTCAATATATTACAGATTTTAATGCTATACTCTATGCTCTAACCTAACCCTAATCCCTCTCTGAAATTTTTATCCCATAAAAAAAGAGCCAAATTTTATTTTATTATAAACTGCAATAACGATAAATTTTACAATGCATACGTGTAGTACATGTATCTCTCTTGTAACATTCACGATGATTTGTAGTCAACAATTCAAGATAGCGATATTCCGTTATCGTTATGAAGTTTTATCACATTCAGCAAACAATAAATTTAACCTGAGTCCTTATGTACGTACATATTGTTTTGGTATGACCATCTCGCATGCATATGCTCTCATACCGAGTCCCACATTGTTTTGTTATACTAGTTAAGCCAATAAAATGCTATAATAATTGCATAACAGTGATAATTTCAATATAAATTTTACCAAAGATAATACGTAATGGTATTAAAATGCTTGCTTGAATTATTTAGGCTAATGTAAAAAATGTCTGAATGCTGTAATTCAAGAATTTTGACGGCATGTATAGCCAAGCCTGAAAGCATGTCTAAGTAATATTTTGTCTATAAAGAATCAGAATTTTAAATCATTCTTATAAAGTGGTGGTGGAATTTAAATTTTCGAATCCTCATGATTGTAGTACGTACATGTAAATGTTTCGATTAACACTGTCAATTTTATGAAGCTGAATGGTTTACCGAAAATAAAAATCAATAACGTAAAGAACACAAAATGATTGCTTAACGTTAATTAAAAACAAATTGTATTAAAGTTTATAAATGAGGTAAAATGAAGTGTAAAGCATGGTGGTTTTTTTTTTATTTCTACTGAATTTGATATAGATAAGTTATTGAAGCCGAATTACAAGTATGTCCAAAACGAAGCAAATGAAAGTGAAATTTATTAGCTATACCACGACTGTACAAAGTAATTAATATGATTATATTTTCTATTGTCAGCATGTCTCATGAGTTTGTTATTGATGGAGAACATGAAAAAAGCATAGCCGAAAGTTCAAATCTAAACTTAAAAATTAACCATCCAAACACAACGTAAGTTTTTTTGTTGACAACGACGCGACGCAGTCTTACAAACAAAATAATCAAAAATATACAAGTAAAAAAGATCTTTAAAATATTATCAAAATGATTATTTAACACAACAATAACCTTATCAATGTCATATATCGATATCAATTTAATATCAATTATCAAAAGTTATCGTTATACTTACAAAATTAATAACGATAAGAAATTATTGATTTAGTGACTTGGATGAAATCATCATATGCTAAATTTATATGATCGTTATCGTTTAGAGTACGTAACCCGCTTTTTATCGAGATCGGTTAATTGAGATATAATTGGAAGTTCCTCCGATCTAACGAGAATCACTATCACTATAACGTACATGTACACAGTGTTGTCAACTTTATAAATTGGAATTGGACATATCGATATACGTACGTAGTTTTATACAATTAAAATGTGGCGCAGTTTATTATGTCTAATTGGACACTTCTGCATGTAGTTCACCTTGTACTAATTGGACCAAATTAATTATTTACGGGAAAAGATACATGTATCTGGTTAATCAATGGAAATTCCTTCACAATTCCGGTTTAACGAGAGTCACTGTGTATCGGTACACTTGAGATCTAGCATTCAAATGTACATGTATAAAACATTCTCCAAACAAAATGCAAAGTGACTTGATAACGATAAGGATATTAATATTATGCTAAATATTATATACTATATAAAAATGTACTATACAATAAAGAAAAATAAAATTTTGTAAAAGCTCGATCTTGTCAAGGAGAAGCATTATCGTTATCATTTACCAAGTTTAACTAACGTTAATGTGTCGTGTATAAATAATATGTAGATCACAATTTTTAAATTAAATTTAATCCTTCATCAAATATTTGTAAGAAAAAATGTTACCAGCGCTAATACTTTTAATAACGATAAATATTTTTTTTCCTAAATAAGCAACCCTAAATACACATTATAGTAGTGATCTCTCCTTTCTGCAACTTAATTAGGAATATTAGATAAGCAAATAAAAACGTCCAAATCCAATATCAGTATCGGAGAAAAAAAAATGCTGTGTTGCTAATGTGGTTTCATAAAGAACAACGTCTTATTAACACTAAAACCATTCGTTGGTTTACTGCAGCATAGCCTGCATTTTAAATGCACAAAGACGATAAACGAAAAACAAGAATTTTATATAAAAAATAATTAAAAACTAACCAATAAACTGTCAATATATCGAAGAGAAACACGTTTTATTTCTTTGCTCAACCAATCTTAATTACATATTCAACTTACAAATTAGATCTCTGTTATATCTCATGCATTTACTATGTAGCTGCTGTTACCATGCAATCTAGATGTGATTAAAAAGCAAACCGTTTCATTTCTTCGTCTTTTTAATGGTTCTTTCCATTATTTGCTTGTTTTAAATTTACTTGTTCGCATTGAGCTTTCCATAATAAAGACTATTTCCCACATTCTTTTCATAAAAGATCTTACATATAGTCGAAACTTAAAATTGGAACGAGCAACTTTTTATCCATATTATTGCATATCGATATTAAATCATGGGAGTTAATTTATCAGTACATACAAAAAGGAGAAAAAAGAAAATAGACAGAGATGCTAATAACAAACACACAACAGAAAATGTGAGCTCTGTTAGCAGCTTACAACAAGAATTTAAATATATGGGAGGCCGAAAGTTTTATGATATTGATATTGCACCATATGTAGTAAGTTCCATAAAGTTTGCTTTTTTATTACAGAATCTTTTAAGCGTAACTATTTATCGTGTCAATACGTATTACGTAGTTACCTGCAGATATTGAAGAGGATGATCGCTTACATCAACAGCATTTCGCGCTCAAATATATTTGTGGAGGTAATTACACGGCTCCGATTCATGATTTAATAAAGCCTGGAAGTAAGATACTGGTAATTCAAAAAATATTAGCATAATTGATGTCGAAATTAAACTAATGATGCAAACTTTATTGCATTTTCAAGGACTTGGGTTGTGGTCCAGGCCAATGGACACTAGAAATGGCACAAGAATTTCCACAAGCAGATATATATGGTATCGACATAAACGCGAATTTCCCAACTACAGTTAAACCGTTAAATTCACATTTCATAGTTGGTAATATCACAGAAGGTTTACCTTGGGAAGATAACTACTTTGATTTTATTTGGATACGATATTTGTTCGTTGGAATTATGGATGCAGATTGGCAGAATTTATATCGTGAGATTAGGCGTGTGCTAAAACCAGGCGGAATACTTGAACATCATGAGTGTGATGGGCTTAGTAAGTAACATCAAGTCCCCCCTTTCAAACAAATAGATGTGCGTTAACATTATTAATAAAAAATTTAGCCGTAAACCCTGGCCCAAAATTTAGAAAAATCCTAAACCATTGTAAGAAATATCGACTTTTTTCTGAAATGCAAAACTAAAAAATAATTAACAATTTATTAATTTTTTCAAAAGTTGAAGAAGCATTTATTTCACGTGATCTAAGCTTTCGATTGGCAGGTGAACTAAATGAACGAATTACGATGGCTGGTTTCGAAGATCCACAGCAATCGTACATATCTGTAGCGATCGGAAGGTATGCATCTACATATACAGTAGTTTGGTGAATAAAATCCGAGTTTTTTTAATTAAATTACTAAATTAATTTCTATAATATTTTATTTTAGACAAGGGGGTAAAATTGGGGAAATATGGGCAGCGAATTTGAAAGATGGTTCTCTCGCTATGAAACCATGGATCGCGGAACTCACCGGGTTGACAGAAGAAGAGTACGACTCAATAATTCAATATATTTTCGATCATGAAATTTTCGAACATGATGATTATCATAATCATCATATAGTATGGGCTCGAAAAATTCAATAATTGTAGTATATCGAGCATGTTCATACGTTGTCGTAATTTATAACGGCCGTACCTCTATAAGGACATTATATAAGAACAAATTAATTTAATAAGAACTTAATTTATTTGATCGAATAAATTATATATAAAAATAACTATATATAGTCGGCTCTGGTTAAGTAACACTTTACAATAGTCAGCCTGGAATAGAATTTTCTATACAGTATATAGTGTTACTGTATTGGATAGAACAACATTTGGATATACTGTACATGTAATAACATCAAAGATGTGTCTCCAATCGCGTCATTGTAACCAGAATTGACTGTATTTTCTTTTATCTATTAATTCAATAATCTATTATATTTGATTTTTTGTATATTCGAACTTTAGTCTTATTGGATATTATTTCAGATTTATAAAGTGACAACGATATTTTTATGATGAAATTAAAGCAGTATTTTTACGAATTTTATATTATATTAAAACATTTCATTAGTACTATAAGAATATTTTTATAAAATGAATTAGAAGTCGTTAAATTTAAATAAATCAAAATTTTAAACAGCGAAATTTGTTAAAAATTTTGTGTAATATATAAGTATAAAGTTATATATAAGCATTTTATATAAATTCACTAAAGATTTTTATGGTTCAAAACTGGAAGTTTTATTTATCAGTTGTAATAAAATTTTGTTCTAAATAATCATTACCATGAATATAAAAATGATTCATTTATTTATTCAATTTTTTAAAAAATTTAACCAGTTATGAAGTTATTATATTATATACCTAAAACATTATAGTATTTTATCTAATTTCAAGTGAATTATTTATTACTATTATAAAAAATACTTTTTGATTATAATATATATAATTAAAATTAATCTATCTTTAATAAACTCTAATTATAATGTTTAAAATTTATTGTTAAATATTTCTATTAAAAAATTTTGAATTTATTGATATTAATTAATGATTTATTAATAGAATATAATAAATATTTTTTATTTTTTATATCAAAAAATTTCTATATTAAATTTTAATATATATTTTCTGAATTTTTAGATTTAATTTGACAAAGTTATTTAATTACAAATTATTTCAAAAATTTTTGTAATAACTTTATAATTAAAACAACTTTGTTAAATTAAATTTGAAAATTCAAAAAAATAGTAACTAATAAAATTGTGAAATTATATATGCAATTTGCTCAATAAAAATTCAAATTTTTGTCTTATATAAGATTTTTCAATTTTATTAATAAATATTTTTTACGTTTATATCAAAATAGAAATTATAAGTTATATTTTAATGAATATTCTTAGATTTAATTTAATAAAATTATTTAATTACAAAGTTATAAAATTTTTTTACAATTAAAATGTAAAATTAATTATAAAAAATTTTTGCAATAGCTACAACTTTATGTATTTTATTTACCTATTCACACGCCAACACATCACAATGCATACACATTTAAAAAATCAGAAACAAATATTAGGCATTTTGGCCACTGTTAAAATATTTAATACAAGATAAATTTTGATTCCGGGTTGTAAAGTATTTTTCAAGAACCAAATATTTTTTCGATTTTTTAGCTCTCTCATCTTCCTCCAACAACATACGAAAAATTATTATTGCCATAGAGAATCAAAAGGTTTAAAAAAACATCTTGCCATGGAGCACTCAGGATCGATAAACTCACTTTTCTATTCTTATAGCCAATTCTGCACATCCTTTACTTTCACCATAGACTACATGCACAGCAGTCACATTTTCATAATCTGGCCCAAAGTAGTTAATAAGCGTTTTATTGGTACAAAGGTTCACCATAAGCATGGAACAATTATGAAGATCAGCATATTTTTTGGCGCGTGTGCAGTGATCATTGAAGGTCTTCCGGCTTGCTTCGAAAACGAGCTCAAAGCCATTGGCTTCCAGCCACATGCTATCCCTAATGATAATGTCTAAACGCTGACGACGATTACCATCATAATCATACTCCTTTACCTCAGAAAGAACACGGTAAAGAAGTTTTGGATAGGCCGTTGAAGCAGATTCTTCATAACGATGTTGAATTCGGCTTGGAATGCGTACTCAGACGGCTCACCGCCAGAATTGCTAGTTTTATCAGTGAAAATATGCTTAATGGATAGGTTCTTTATGAAAAGAAGCACCTAGTAGACTGAATGTATGCACATTGTTTCATTGGCAACAAAAAATTAATTAGAAATAATCATCCACCTCAATAGTGCGCTCCAACATCCATTTGGCAGCAATTGTTTGAACTTTATCCGGTTTGGAGCTCTTTGATAGGTCGATATTAGGCCCTGTTATTTGATAAAGCATGATATTACAAAGGATAGGTGCGGCACACTGGATTAATACGTCTTCACTACCCAGCTTCCTTTTAACAACAATCATTCCTTCCGCAAGGAGGAATTTCACATCAGGATCATCCTTTACCAAAAAGTGAAAAAATGTATAATAATATAATGAATCGAATACGGCACCAAATAAGTAAATGCACTCACCCGAGAAACTACATCAGTTTTATAGCAAAGGACCCTCGCAAGGATTTTTTTTCGTTTCTCCGATAGGCTATGGAGGGCACGAATTATGAATTCATATGTTGCCTTCCCTCTTATGAATTCAGGTAGTCTGAAAGTCACCTCATTCCATCCATCGATCGTTAACTTGATCTTGCCTTCCATAATTTTGGTCTCAAGATAAGAGCAGCAGAGACCAACGAGACCCTTGTGCCCAAGAGTGAGGGAATAAATATCCTCAGCGATTTGGTATATATCTAATTCAAAGTTATTCTCTTCAGAATACTGATTAAGAAGTTCCGCAATCTCCGCTTGAGTAAAAGGGTAGATGTCATGCTTGTCTCATCCGAAAAAGGCGAAATAATTGACTCAGAATCAGGTCGTTGATTGCTGAGAAGGAAAGAAAACACGTTGAACTGACCACGTCCGTCCTTTAAAACTCGCAACAAGCTGATGAATCTCTCAATAATTTTTTTGTTGCCAACAAGATATGAAGCCTCATTTATAATGATAATACAATCCTTTGCCAAGGGATGATTGAATTTCGAAAAGAAACTTACAAACGTAGACGATGATGCCTGAGCGTGCTCATCAAAGTTGAACCGGTTCGCACCTAAGCATTGTAGCTTAGTACATACGGAATACCAGAATGCCTCGAGTCCTTTATCTACCACGATTCCGCTGGAAAAGGTGATGATGTAAACTTTCTTATCGTGTTTGTCTTCAAGCCACTTTTTTATTGCATAGGCAGGAGTTGACTTGCCACTCTGGCGATGCCCGTATAAGAGACAGAACTTGCCATCAAAAAAAACTTTACCAAACCTTCAGTCACTATGTTAGGTTCAATGTAGTAGTTGATATCCTGATATGTCCTGTTGAAAGGCGCGAAAGTACGAGGCCCTACACAAAAAAATAGTCAGCTCAGATATTCCTGATAGAGCATTAAATGGACTTTTACAAACATCTATGAAACCAACTTTTTGCATCCTCCTTTTTCTTTTTGTACGACGAGAAACTTCGTATTGTTTGCTCTTTAAGATTCTCGATGAATTTTACGAGTGTTGTTACAACTCCTCTTTTAGACCATAACTACGGAACTCCTCTTTCGTTGTTTTGAGAAAAGCAAAACCAGAAATTCTCTCGTCACATAGAATCTTGAAATCTGCCTCTATAAGCTTCAAGTTTCTCTTCCGCAAATATTCAATAAGCTCCTCCGTATCTAGATCTTTCACAGCGTCTGTCATCGTGCGGGTTGACCTTTCCTCCGTTAAAGTAGAGGATGTAGAAATTGGTGAGGAAGGTTAAGAAGCGTTATGTTATCGTTTTATATTGGTATATGGCGTTAAAAAATCTTGTTTATGTATCTCGCTGAGTAAAGCTAAATAAATGCAACGTCGAAAAGTGAATTTTTTATTGTCTCTATTTTTGGCGAGTATCGGTGGGTTTATATGCGATAGAAGTTACACGGAATGAAACTCTTATTGGATTCGATCACACAAGATGAATAAAATGATTGGATAATTAGCATAGAACAATTTCGAAGGTCGCAGAAAAATGACACCATCACCCGATCTACAAATAGAGCTTTTTCACGCTCTCACACATCCAAAATAGATCACAACCATCTTTTTTTCATCTCGCATTTTTCTCTCTTGAGTTGCTTCAAGAAGGTAAGCAAATTGCTTTTTCAGTGATCTCATGCAAAAAAGCTCGAGCTTTAGCTATTCAAGCTTCTAAGTTATTAAAACCAGATGGCTCACGCATTTTATCATGAGTTTATTTTGGCCAAATAGATGGAAGACAATGTCAAGATGACTTTGCTGATATTAATATTACTTGGAGTACTCTTGATTGTGTAATTTATACAAGTTCTGTAGAAGCTGGTATCTTCTTTAAAATTTCTAATCATTTTGATGCAGTTATAGAAATAAGCAATATTAATACAGAAGCAAATCTGATAAAATAATAAAATTCATATTAATAATATAATTATTATTTGTGAATTCTATAAATCTTGCTCTCAAAGTGCAAGTAGTGGATGCTCCTCCACTCTAATAAGCTGTTGTTTTTTTGTTTTTCTTTGTACAGGCCGCATCAGTTGGATTGCTTTTTGATTTTGTTTCCTTTGATATGCTGTACCAATAAGACCTATTGTGTGAAAATTGGTAATTTATTTTTATTTTATTGTTATTATACCTCTAACTTCGATTTGCGTATAAGTCGCCACGGGAAACCTTTAGAACAACCAGGGAAACCCTCTGACCGTAGATAATTCAGTTTAGCTCTCATCCCTGTTGCGAAAACCCTTTGATTTCATTAATTATTCGTATAGGCGTAACAGTATGTTAGTGGCAAGGGAAAATAAAGTTTATAATACCACCACCACCATTATTAGATTTTTATGCGGGATTTTAAAGCTGAAATAAGAGTGGTCGAATTAATATCGATATGCACACCCTCTATACGGTCATAAGTATCTGAAATTTTAGAATCCATTTTTGAGTTCACTTTATAAAAACGATTTAAAATGGTTTTTAATGATTATATGCTGTGTTTTATAGATTAATGCAGATATTGAGATAATAGCAAAACAAAATGAATGATAATAAAAAATTATGTCTGCGTTAACGTTAATGGTAATAGTAAATACAGAAATATAAGATATAAATAAAATTTTTAAATTTTCATTTTCGTTCCAGTTCAAATTGCCTATGTAATAAATTTTGTCGTTCATGTTCCAATTCACCTTGCTTTTGTATGTATTGTGTAATAATTACATTGACTCGAGTAATCTCTTGATGTGATCGGAATCTTCACTTGTTATCGTTATTCTTTCTTGCACTACAAAGAAAAATAGCAATTGATTAAAGAAATTAATAAAAAAGATCAAAGTGATTTTACCTTCATTTGTTTCGTTTTGAACATATAAACTGGCACTTGTAGATTCGTCATCAATATCTATATTAGTCACATATGCTAGAGATACACGCAAACAAGTGTCTTAATATATTTTTTTATAAAACGAAAAATACAACTTGTTTAATAATTACATGAAACAACATCTGACGTCGTCGCTAAAATATACAATCGTACATAGTAATAAATTTTACCTTCGTTTATTTCGTTTGGAATATACAAACTAATATTTGTGGAGCCTAAACATCCAAATATAATTTTTAATTAATATGAAATGTCAATTTGATTTATATTTTAAATAAAAAGTACCCATGTTAGTTGGAATTGAAATTAATTTTGAAGTAAATATTCGGCTGATGTAAACTGTATGTGGGTGGATTTGTTGTTTTTTGTTTGTATTTGTAGAAAAGTTTTTTGATACCTCATTTCATTTAGTTTCTGCCTTTCTAGTATGCAATACATGGCAAATGATATAATAATAAACATCATCTCGGCTGTGACTGTTCAAGCAATAAATTCAAGTTCGCTATCATAAAATAAATATGTAACTGAATTACTATAATTCGATCCAGAAATCAGTCATGTAAATGATCCTTAAGTGTTATAGTCACGTTCTGTGACTGCTTTTATTTTTTTCGATCAATACCGATACGTATTGCATCATAAATCCAGAAATGATCGATTGTAGATTAGTCATGGCGTTTCTTCTTCCATTTCGGACTATTGTATCAATGACAAAATACGTTTCGTCATTAATATAAAAAAGATAATGGTAACGATCAACGTTAACGTTAACAATAACGATAATATATTAGCGATCATTATCGTTATCGCTTAATCGTTGCCTGTGGATTTACAAAAATTGATCGACTTAACGTTAAGAAAAATTGTATAACTTTGAGCAGTTTCTTTTTATTTAATAAACCGGAACGAGTTAGTTTATAGTTGAAAGAGTTTGTTACTTTTTTCTTAAGAATTTTATAACATTACGTAATGACAATCTCTTATTACGTAACATATCGGTATATAACGGTAACATTAAGACAGTTGACTTATGGATTAACAGACATTTCACATGTTTGCCTCTTTCCTAATCTATACTTCGAGATGCTGAAAAATTATTTCCAAAATGTTTGATAATACTTTTGCCGCAACCGTAATCAACCAAATCGCGTATTATATTTCAAAGAATGGCTTCCAGCTATTTATTTACCAAGCGTTAGAGTATTGGGGAGTAATAATATTAATGTGGCAGAAGCACAATATTGTCGAGAACTCTAGGAAGCTATAGCTACATGTGAAATAAACCATTCAAAAAGCAAACAAAAGTTGGAGGATATCTTATCACATTTTAACTCCATTTTCAAGATATGTAATAAAAAAAGTCAATTATGTTTCTTCTAAATATGATGAAATAATTTTGCAAAGAGAGTGATAAAAATAACAACTAGGTCTATGTTGCTGTTTGTATCCAAGTGTGCATGATGTTATGATCTGAATTTATCTGAATTATATGGAAATTTAGTTTATGAACATTATTCAAGAATTACATTATAGATCTTAATTTAATATAGCATGAATAAATGACACTCCTTTTGTAACATCTAAATCTTCTATTATAAAACCATTCAATTAGTAATCAAAGAGAATAAGATCTAGATGCTTACTAATCTAATCTCTTTATATCATCTATATTAATAATCAATATTAATAATTAATGTTAGTAATCATTGTTGTTGTAGTATAGATTAATAATAATTGCTAGAACATTCTATTAATAATATAATTTTTTATGATTAATTACAATAAAGAAATATTTTAATGATAAATATATATTTATTATATAGAAAATCTTTATATAACAGCAACTAAATTTGTAATGTATATCTTAGTTTATGAAATACTAGTATTATAAGTATTAAAGGATGCATTACAGAAAATTCATTTATGATATTAGCATGAGATTTTTTATTTCATGCTAGATTTGATATGGACATGCCATAAAGTAATTCATCACTAACTGTAAATATTAACTAATTTTTACATATTATATAATGAAATTTTTATATTTTAGGATTATTATATTAAGTTATTTTTTATTTAATTATAAGTATAATTAGTATCATAGAAATTATAAAGATTTTTGAAGTATAGAAAAAGAAAAGATTTGTAAACTACAGATATTATTGTATCAAAAATTTATTATAAGAAATAATTAAAAGTAATTTTTATTTCAGTATCAGATAGCAGAACAAAATATAGATATTATTCAAAAGAATATTGATTTCATATTAATCAAATATGTAAGTAACTATATATTAGAATTTTTGAGATCCCATATATTAATAAAAGATTGGTTATTTGTTTTTAGAAAGCTAAGATACTAGGTGAATGCTTGAAAAGTAACTTGAATATATATAATAAGTGGTTCACCATTTATAACAGCTAGATTTGGGAACAATTGAGCCAAAAGCTCCTATAGCATCAAGAGTATTTGATCTTATAGGAAGTGAAAATACATTTGCAAATTTATTATCTTTGAAAAAAAGACAGTTCTTAACAAGAAATTCATTTCATAATAATGAGATTCCTGAACAGATTGATATAATGATAAATGAATTCATAAGCACGTATAATGATCTAAGATCTGATTTTGATCCAATATTAATGCGACCAATAAGTTTTCCACAAGGAGAGATGACTCTCGAAACTAGGCGCATTCTAATGACAGTTTTTGATTTATTGGAAGGCTTGTAAATCATAACATTAAAATCGCATTGGTATTTTTATATTATTAATAAGCTTATTGAATATATTTATTCGCAAACGCCATATTTGGAGTTCTAGACCCATTGTTAACAGAAGATGATTATACTATATAATTCATGCGGTATCCAAGGTTTTGGATCCAATTTTTACATATTCTAAGTGACCTCTGAGAGAAAATGAACTAGTTCTAGTGGAGATTTTCCGATTATTCTCTCAACAAGACAAAGAAGTTATAGACTGGAAAAAGTTGGTTCGTATTTGTAAAGATCGTTTTGATGAGTGATATAATATTTTTTTGAAGGGAGAGATGATACTAACGTCACAGCAAGATTGATCCATTACGAGTTGGATAAAATTCTTATCTTAGGAGTCCAAGTGATAGGAGAGCGTATATTCGTTTCGGTGTTAGATTTATTTGAAGGTGTTTTTTTATCGGGTTTATCGAATCTGTGAAATCGTCATACCTTTACGAATTTCCTCTTACCAGATCGTTAAAAAATACTTAAGGAGTGCTCTCAAACTAAGAGCCGTAGTTGAAAAAATTATCGGAATGTCAGTAAAGATAAAGGATGAGATCGAACTATCGCCGGTGGCCAAGAACCGAACCCCACTGACACCAACAACGTCAACAACATATTCTTCACCGAGAAGTTATTAGACACTTTCAGATAGAATGTATCATATATTTTATTTTTTTCCTATATCAATAAAGCTCATATACATTCGTGAGTGTCGCATAACTGTATAATAAATTGCGCGTTATTTATCGGGACACATGATTGAGTGTCAAGTTACACGTCCTTTATATAGTCATATCGATATCGAGATACAATTAGAATAATAAATGTTTAACCTGATTGGGAGCAATACATTATTGATGAGCTTATTATTAATATTTTGAAAATAAAGGATGTTTCTGAAACCTATATAACTGACAAATCTTTCCTAGAACATTGATTGATCACAGAATAACCCCATAAGAATTGATAGTTTTTCTTGTTGATCGAGAATATTTCTAACCACTTTATCACACTCGTCCCATTCCTTGACTTGATCCATACCGAATTGTCGTATTTTATTAGTAAGTCGCTTTAAATTTTGGTGATTGTTGTTTGCATGCTCCATCGCTTGGTCTATAAGCTTTACAGGTAAATATGAAGTAAAATTTAATAATATATTAAGATTCTTGTGATGTCATTCATTCACTTACCATTGATTGATCTTTAGATTCCTTTCTGGAATTTTCGTAATGATCAATTGTGTTGTCTTGGGAAAACATAAGATAGTTTGTTAAATTAATGCGTTCAACATAAACGAAAAACACCTATTGAATCTCATACTTATTTCTTGAAAAGTTTCCAATACTTTATAGGTGACATTTTCAGATTCTTGTTTAACATTCTTTATTATATATTTTATGATTTTTCGAACGCGCGCTGTTCCTTTCGTATCTGCAAAGTCGGGGGCATTTTCTTGTAATATTTTATCTATAAATTTACAATGCCATTTAGTTTTTTAAAGAGAACAAGTAAAGTAAATAATTTATACGTTTAATTTATCAATTAATTAGCTACCTTCATTTCCTTGAATTTTAGATCTTTGATCTTGATTTGTATTATATTACAATTATTCTTATTATCCTGTTCACCTTATTTTTATATAAAAGTCAATTTCGATATCGATACTACAAACCTTCTGTATTAATTTCAGGATCAATAACGCGTTCGTCACATTTAGAAAGACTATTATTTCCATTACTGATAAAATTTCCATCACCACTTCCAGATTCTGGCATAGCGTAAACATCAAATCTGATTTGATCTTGTTGCTGCTGTTGTTGTTTGTAAACGCTTTTTTCTCGACATACACCTCTATAAAGATCATCATTACCGTTACTATTAATTGTTTTGTAAGACCATGACGCATGTATTTTCTTTAGTGTGTTGGTGCTTGGCGGTGCTGTTGGTGAAGTGGAAAAGTCGTCATCAGTGGTTTCTTCAGTTATTGGTGAGAGAAGTTGTGAAAATTGCATTTTTGGCGATTCGTAAAGAAAAATAGAAAATTATAGCTAATTATGGACACGAATTACTTTTGTTTACTTTATATCGATATTAATTACCTTGTCAAAGTATTTATCAGCTGACTACGTATGTACATGTATCTTTGATCGACTCATCGTCAAAATATAATAAATTCGACCAATCATCTTGTACCAGCATAATTATTTTTATTGATAAACATAATTTTGATAAACATAATTTCGATTTTTAATAAGGCGTCAGCTAAAAAAATCCAGTCTTTAATTATTATAGTGAGTTTCATTGTCAACGTTAGTATAAACTAATTATTTCAACGTGTCCAGCAGACAATATATCGATATCCTTGGCCAGATACCTAAATTATTTTTGAGAAAAAGCTAAAAAAACATAAAATAAGAAGTGCCTTTCACGTGCATGAATACATGTAAATTTTGGGTTTCTTGCCCAATAAGAGAAAAATGCAGCACGATTTTCAGTAGAAGAGACGTCTTTTAGCGTTGACTTTTTCAACGGGCGATTGCATATTTCCTTCTTTAACATGGTGTGCACCATACATCTTTAGTTATTGGAATTTTTTCAAAATGTACGATTTCTTTAGTTATTGACTTTTGTTGGTTTTTAAATATCGGATTTGATATTTTTTGAAAATTGTGCACATTTTCGTCTTTTGCCAAGGATTTGGCTACGTGTTCATTCAAAAGCTTGATCACCTGTTTGCATTAACGTGACAGCGGTACGGTACTGTTACAAAAGTATCAGTAGCACCGAATTCAAAATTACAAATGAAAAAAGTAAATTTAAAAGGTAGAAAAGTTTCTAACGCTAAGAATAAAACTAGATAACTTGGAATAAATCATTTCGTGACAAATTACACCAAAACCCTAAATCTGTATTTTTCACAGCCATTTTCTGACACTAAAAAATTAAATTAATAGTTCTTCTAACAAAAAAGCAAAAAAATTAAATTAATAGTTCTTCTAACAAAAAAGCAATATTCTTTGATATCATCTTATTCTGTTATGACGTTTTATCTTGTATTTGCCAGTTTGGACTGAGTTACAGCGTGCATTTAAGGAGGGTATGTACACTATAAATGTAGGTTTCTCAGACTTGAATCCCAATTTTTTTAAAGTAACATGATTCCACAAATGTGTTATGTAACTGAAAAAAAATAAAGTTTCACTCACATACAGACTTAGCTTTAACTTTGCATGGATTAGAAATAAATATTTATTGAAAGGAAATTATCGTTGATTGTTACATTAATTTATTTATGGACATTCTAATTTAACTGATTTGCCTTTAATACCAGGTTTTGAGGTATCACACCACCGTTGACCTACTATACTTCCTTTGCAGCCGTAGTCAGAGTAAAAAGTGTAACAAGTACCCTTAACATCGGTCCGAGCATCGTTTACAATGTCGCTCTCGTCGATACCATAACACCCACTCGTATTACCGGTTTGATGTCGTGTTGCACCGCTGTAAACTAAAGAAAATGGAAAGAAAAATTAATACGAAAAAGTTTTATATATCGATATTAACAAATTAATCGAATGTATATGATCTTACAGATGGTGCACGTTCCCGCTTGAGCATAAACTACGAAGGCCAAACTGGCAGCCAGGAATAAGATAATGGATTGGAAATTCATTTTGCCTTTCAATAGATCTTTTAGTTTGTGAATTGTTTGTGAATTAATTGTTTGAATTGCTTGTGTGAATTGCTTGAGGGGTGGGAACCTCCTTTTATATTGGAATTGACGACACAGCCAGTGGACCTCTTTTATACGTAGTAGATTTACTAATACACCATAAAAATCAGGTGGCTGTGATTAACATAGCCTTCCTATGAGCCCCACCCTTAAAGGACAAAGCTCATGATTGAATAATTCTTTTAACAAAACAATTCTCATACAACTGTGATTTAGGAAATTAAAAGTTTTCTCGGAAATTTTAAATGAATGTCATTGTCATTGTAAATAAACTTTAATCAAGATAATCAATATAAATGGGCTAACGCGCGTTTCCAATTCAGGTGTAATAAGCTTGCCGTATTTTGCTGTGTATAAACAACTTGTGACAAATAAATGTTTAGATATACATGTACATGTATATCTAAATATGTGACACTTAATAAGGTAACGGCTGATGCTGAAATTAGCGCATCCTATTGGCTGATTCTCTAATTTCATTGGTCAATAGCAGCATCAGCCAAATTTCAGCATTAACCGCACGACATAAATTAAAAAATTACTAAAAAGGGCAATGTCTTTTATGCACTTAGCCCATCATACAACTTGATTTAGGATGGCATGTGAATAATCAATCCCTAAACAATTCTCGTTTAGGAAATCTCCACGCATACGCCTTCTTCCGCAATATTATGAGTGCCAAAGCCAAAAATATCAGTGCGAGCCATGATGTCATTTCTCCTTCGATAAAGCTTTTGTCTATATATTATGGCTGAGTGTAATAGAAACAATGTAAATTGTAAATACACCATTTTTGTTGCACTCAGCCCATATGGCCGGCGACTCGTTTCTTTGATCCAAGAGAAAGCGGTTCCATGTCTTTATTCCAAATTTCGCAATATATATAAAATTACTTTCACCGTAATCCCAATCGGTCAATAGACTCGGGTTCGTTTCCAATTAGTGCAATAGTTTCATCTTCTATCGATCATCATCCAATTTGACATCGGCGTGGATACGTTTTCCATCGTTCTTATTGGATTGTTTTAACATGTCCGGTCATGCTTGACAAGATTAGTATCAATATTGTGGCTCTGGCATTCACTTATTACGTGTCATGTTCCCGCAAAAATTTTTGTTAGGTGAAAGATGCACGCACTTTTCTGGGTTTTTTCTAATCATCAATGTTTTCTGATGGTAATTACTAAAACACAGTGGCTTCTATTGTTTAAGCATCTCAATGTCAATCGATAACGACATGTTATGTATTACCCCTCTCCGAAAGCGCACCAATAAATTCTCTAACGCTAATGCTAAGATAGACAATTATCAATAGAAGATGGTTACAATGTGAACTCAAAAATAATTGAATTTCTAGTCTAAAGTAGGATCAATAGCTATATTAAACATAGTAAGCGACGACAATTCGTAAAAGAATGTAATAACGAAAACGATAGCGCAAAATGACCTCGAAAAACTAATGTAACAACAGAATCAACACACAGATACTCATATCTCTGTAAAAACATGGTTGGGTAGAAAGAGAGGTCATTTTTAATATAAATATTAATTCTTTGGTTCTCAAAATCGTGTCCTTACATGGGTTGTTCTTATATCGAGTGTTCATACAGAAGTATAACTTTATTTTTGTTTTAGACATTTTCGACATTTCAAATTAAATAACTACTATATTCAAAATCATAGATTATTTGAAACCAGAAGTGCCAACTTTCATCTCTTACGTCTTGCAACAATTCAAGAATTTAATCTGTCTTTACATCAGCACATCATTCAGTGCACTATCTATATAACGTTATAATTCCTTTTATACGGATCGAAAGAACTTAAAATTATGTAAGGTTGCATGGGCCCATAGGAATATATAAGAAACTTTTTGTCCTGTTCCTTATTTACAGTATATTATAGAGAGAATTCTCATAGAACAAGCGTATTCCCAGATTAAACTAGAACACTTATTTACAGTAATATACAGTTAAAGTTCGAAAAATCGAAGGCCTCGGGTTATTCAAAAACAAACTTCGCTTAATGTTATAAAGTACTCTTTATATTAATAGGTTTGTTCCTGAAATTCTTCGTTTTATCGAACTTTAACTGTAGTGTATTTTTTCTTATGAATAAAAACTGGGTTTCACTTAAAAAAATGATATTTCGCGAAATAAATTTTCTGGATCAAGAAATCAACAAAACGTCGAATAATTCTTACCGTGCACAACATCTAAAGTCATCAAACGTTTGTATTTTATAAATGTGTAAACTTTTTTTACTAAGAAGTTAATACAAAATTTAATCCGTGAATATTCTCAGAAAGGGCCTATTCTACGGATTAAAATACAAACATTTTTAAATGTAATATATATATGTCCCATTTCTCAACAACTGATTGAAAATCAAATTGTTATGAAGTCAAACATGCGGTTATTGGTAATTAATGGTTAAATTCTCAAGATTAGGCTACAATTTTTTTAGTTCTCATAATACATGACTATGTAAAATGACCCGGAGATCCGGCTTTTTATTTTAAAGTCAAAAAAAGCGATTATTTTTTCGATCCGGGACGCGATCCTTTGAAACGATCTATTATTCGGTTCGTCTTAATGTTAACTAGACGAATCGAATAATGGTTAGATCGCTCTGATCTGATAACTTGAGATGTTGCAAAATAAATCGATTTTTATAATATATACAGTTCCCGACGAAAGTCATGGCGGGGCGTGTTTTTGCTTACACCTTAATGAGCAATTTCTTCAAAAGTCATGAAAATTTGTAGATATATTCTTTAGGATGTTAGGAACAAGATTTCTTAATATCATAAAGGTACATTAACATAATAATATGTATTTGCAAAATTTGGTGTCAAAAGTGACGAATTGAAATTTTTAACCTTTAAGTAGGAATAAAAATTATTAAAAAATATTTTTAATAAGCAACTTTAGAAAGAATTTTATGAAAATAGATTTTATGACATAAGAATACATTTGTAATTTAAAAAAGGTTTTATTTTGATGAATTTTTTTAATAAAACATAGTAAAAAAGAGATTTTACTATGGTTTATTAAAAATCCTTATATAATGCCTTTTTTGAATGATATTTATTAAATAAAAATGAACTAAAATATTTTTTTAATAATTTTTTATTCCTAATTAAATGTTGAAAATTTCCAAATTCCGCAAAATATTATTATGTTAATACGCTTTGTGGTATTAAGAAATCTAAATATATCTACAAATTTTGAATGATTCCTCATTAAGATATAGGCAAAAAACATGTCCGCCATTACTTTCGTCGGGGACTGTACGTTTGATGATTTTTTTTTAGATTGCGCCTCAAAATTTAAATTTCATAAATCGAGTTTGATGACTCGGTCGGCCGAGTTGCAGATTTTTTTTCAAATTTTGCTAATTGATTTTAAGAGAAATTTTTACTGAAATAACTGTTTTATCGATAAATAACAGTTTTTGCTGAAAATAATGACGAGTGACTGCAAGGTATGGATGGGCAATTCGGTGGGTTCTGTTGATGGGAGCCTGGTGTTTGGGCGTTGTCGATTTGTATGGTGCATAACATCTAAAATCATCAAACATTTGCATTTTATAAAATGTATAAACTTCTTTACTAAGAAGTAAATAAAAATTTAATCCGTGAATATGCTTAGAAAGGACCTATTATATCATATTTACAGATTAAATTTTGTATTTACCTCTTAGTAAAGAAGTTTATACATTTTATAAAAATGCAAACGTTTGATGACTTTAGATGTTATGCGCCATACCACCGTATCTTCATTCGAATAATATTCAAAAATAATCTTTCATTATGTATTTCAGTTCATTCAATATATTATAAAATATATTTCTGGAGCGGCCATGCCGTTGTACAATCCATCTTATCTAGATTCAGGGGTTCCTTGAATATCGATATTAATTTCTCATTGAAAAAGAAGGTAAACTAAACCTTACTATGGTAATCTCTATTCCAAAACTGTTCAGAATTATATTAAGTTGAAATAATTTTATTCAAGATATTTTTTCAGTGGCAAAACCGATTTATCAGATCATGGAGTGCCAACGTTTTTAGATGTTTTAGTTGTTGCCGATGAATTGATTCTTGAAGATTTGATTGAATATGTTCAAGAATATCTTTGGGAGCAACATGATGGTTAAAACTTTCGCTATGATCTATCAAGTTGCTTTTCAACATAACTCTTTGTCAAAATCCAGGAATTCTGAACAGCAATCGAGTGTAAAGATCCGGCTGCGGTTTTTCAATCCGACGATTTTGTAGATCTTCAAAAAACAATTATCTGCTCAAACGAGATTATTTGAACCTTAAAGAGATGAAATTTAGGAAAAGATTCTTGAATGGAGAATCGTGCAAGCGTCAGCTTCTGACAATGTCGATTCATCGATTTCAGTGGATCAATGGTCACAAAACGAATTCGATCTAAGCACTACGCTCAAAAATTTTCTACCATTAATTCGTTTCTTTCATAAACTGCTGATTTCTATAATACCATACTCGGAACTATTATCGAAAAAACTTTATAAAGATTTATTACATCATTACATATTACCCGGAAGTGAGGAACAACAAGTGTCACTTCCCCCCATTCGTAATTTGCACGACTTTAGATTAACAATACTTCATGAATAAAATAATTCATTGGGTAAAAGAACTAGATAGTATCCATTCTACTTTGGCCTGTTATTATGTGGCAGCCGAACTTGCTGCTAGGAATTCCACCGGTTATGCGATAATAAAGGTCCAACCATTGTTGCTATTCGTGTTAAAGCTTCTACCAAAATTATCGGTGGTTATAATCATCTTGGATGGAAATTTCTTGATAAAGCTTATTATAGATTAACGAACTGCTTTTTACATAAATTTGATTCGATGACATAATTGGATCAAATAGAGTTTAAGTAAGTATAGCTATAAATCTGAAAATAGTATATATTACTTTAAAAATATGGGTCCTTGTTTTGGAAGTTGTTTTGGTTGATGAAGAAGCCTCGAGATTTTCTTTGGCTAATTGTTGTCAAATCTTCTTTTGAGTTTGGTCTGTATAACGAACGAGAACAAGCTGTACCTTTTGATATTGAAGATTATGAAATATCTCAAATAGTTCAGAATTAAATGCTTTTTACCTTTTTCTCGCAGATTTTTAATGTTTGTATTATGTAACAATATTATTTCAGATAATTTTATAATCTTTGTTTAAATACTATTCTTAATTATTTGCAATCTTCACAGCGTTGCCTTCTGAAATTAACGTTAATATTCTAATAAAATAGTTATAGTAATCCATGCAAAGCTTCAACATATACATTAATATAACTCTTATGAACAATTATACAGGTAATTCATATTCTTAGATACATATATTGAAAATATGAATTATTGCAAACCGAGTTGCGAATGTACTGGAAATTCCAACTGAACTGTATTTTAAGTTCATTTTGGAAGTGTTAATTTGCAGGCTTTCATAAAAAGTTATTCATTAATGTCATAAGCTCAGAAATACGAAATTGGAAAATGTCACAATATATAAAAATTTACAATTTGCTCCAAACTAAATTATAGAATTACAAAAGGATGCGAAATAAAATTATATCTTATTATTTTCTATACGTTTTCATATTAAAATCAAAGTTACAGCATATAATTTGGATCCGATTTAATACAAAAATTTAAATCAAACGTATTTTTAAGTGTAGCAATAAATTTAGATAAATCACTTAGAATCATAATAACCATTCGTTATTATCGTTATAAATTACAGAGTCCATTATTTGAAACATAAAAGCAAATCTATTTAGTAATAATGATAGCGATAATGTTTTGTCTGATTAGTAGTTTTAGAAATAAGCTTTGTGCTAAGTGTTCTTAATTTTGTCGTACATTAAATTGTGCAGAACAATCATATAAACTTACATTATTATTGGTTAGTGATAAATGACTTCTTCATTAGAACTGATTTATACCTTCTAAGATAATAATTCATAAATTTGTTTATATTTATATTTCTTGCTAGGATCAAAAACATAATAAATGTTTTTTGCTTTTTGTCATATAAAAGGTGACTTAATATGAATACTCAAAATACACATAAAAGAAGTAAGGTTCTTAATATATCTTCATTCTCTTTAATTTCATGCGGTATACTAAGATCGAATTCTGTTTTGCATCACCGAAGAAAATAGCAAAGTTTACCTTCATTTGTAGAGTAGAATTGTCAATCGGTCCGACTCAGTTCTAAACTTTGGGAATGACTGAACTGTACAAACTAAATCAGATCGAAGGTTACCAAAATTAAGAGACACTGTAGAACATCATTTCAAACACCAAAAAATATATTATAAAATGGCAGAATATCTTAGCCTCACATGTACAGTACGTACCCTCCCTAAAAGTATCGCTCCGATTACGCGTGTAACCATTTTCCAAAAATAGATTTATCAAGTTTTCTTCCTTTTTTTGCTAATAAACATCACTTTATTTACCTGTTACGTCAACACTATAATTTCGTTAGGTTAGAAAATGACGTCCACCTATACGTAGCTTAACGAATTGAAAAAGGGAAAATTCTGGCATACATGGAAACCACAAATGCCGCTCAAATCGCAAAAATGCTTGGACGTGACCCCACAATGATACGCCGCTTTATTAGCAAATATAAGCGAACAGGAAAAAGTGAAAACTTATCATATTCAAGAAGACCACCAGTCCTTAACAACTAAGAAAGAGATTTACTTATACGTGAAGCCAACAAAAAAAAGACGTACACCACTACGCGAGATAGTCAATAATTTAGGTCTCACCTGTAGTTTATCAACCGCCGCAAATATATTACACAACTCCGGACTTTACTCATATATCGCAGTAAAGAAACTTGGAAACACATGCACATGCTCGTATTAAATGGTGTGAAGAAAATAAATCAGCTTATGATTGGGCGAAAATAATTTTCTCTGATGAAACCAATGTTGAAGTTGGAAAGCAGTCATGGCAGCAAAGGGTTTGACTGCATCCTGGAGAAAAGTTTAATGTTAATTGCTTGGCTCCTACCTTTAAAAGTGAACGAAAATCTGTAATGACTTGGAGATGTTTCGCGGGAAATTAAAGGACCATTAAATTTTTAAAAATGGCGAAAAATTAACTGCAAATATTACCTTGAAATCTTAAAAACCATTCCAGAACGCAATTATGGAGTTAACTGAAGTTACGTAAGTTTTCAACAAGACAATGCGCCGATTCATACTGCGGGAAAAATTAAGGAATGGTTAACGGAAAATAAAATCGCGATTATTAACTGGTCGGCTAATTCTCTAGACCTGAACCCATAGAGGACATTTGGAAGATATTAAAGGACAATATTAAAAAAGATGAAGATTGTGGATGAACTTAAGGTCGCATTAAAGATGGAATGAAAAAATTGATGTGGTCATTTTAAAACGGGTTACTGCATCAATGCCATGAAGAATTAATACGGTATTGGTGTCAAATGAAAGGCCGATTATTTGATGTATAAATTGAACAAAAATCAAATAAATTGAATAATGATCACAATTTTTTTTAATCTTGCATCGGGCGATACTTTTGGGGGTACTGTACATCCGTATTATGTCATTCATAATAGCATTTTCCGATATGTTATGTCACTAATTAGATAAAAGTCCAACGCCGAGCTAGTCGAGTTAAGAGATTTACTGTGTATACAAAACAATGCGAATAAAGATATTATCTTTATCAGAAACGTAAAGATTATGGGATCAGTAAAAAAATATGAATTTATATATTTTATCACTTTCAGAATATCGAGTTAAGGCAAATTATGACTTTTGAGGCTTTCTAATAAATTGGTAATCACGACCACAACAACCAAATCTACAAATCAACGATACATCTACGTGTATCTAACAAAACAATACGACCATTATTATGAGGATCATCAATATTTGCGTTAACGTTAATGAATTAAAAATTTGAAGAATCAATAATTTTACTTTCTAAAAATAGTAAGCTGTCCACCTAATCCAAAATTGTTTACCGTTATAGTCGCAAAAACCTTGTAATCCCTTACAAATTACAGGTGGTCACAGGATCTATAATTTGCGTATGTATACATGATTAACTGTAAATACATGTGATTTGTAACGGATTATAGGATTTTTGCAGGGAAAACTCTGTGGTTTTACAGGACTGTATATTTGAAAGAAGAATAATCTTTCAGTTTAAGAATATTCGAAAAACTTATTTATCTTAACTTAATTTATAACAGAGAATAATATAATTTTGACATTTGATAACAAAAACATATTGAAATGTATAATTTTTGTTTCCTTGAAAAATTGTTAGAACCTTAATTGACTGATTTGCTTATTGCCATTTTATATAATAGTACAATAAAAAAATTTAGATTTTTATTTAAAATTATAATGAAATGGTGGTTTTTTTAATTTACATTTGGTCAAATCTCAAAAGTATTATTTTCAAATTTTATTAAAAAAATTTTATTGAAAAGTGCTTAGTGAAATTGCTTAATAAAATTTTTAGTACAGTCGTTCCTCGATATAGTCACGGGGTTGGAAAACAAAATTGAATGTGACAATGACTATAGAGAAGTTAAATTTCTAATAAATAAAAAAGTGTTAATTCTTAAATTGTGACTATATTGAGAGTGACTATATCGAGGTGAGACTGCATTTTGCTAATTTTTGCGAAAAATTACTTAAATCTTGAATTATTTTGCTAAACTTACAGCGAGCTATTAGAATAACTTAAATTATTCAATCTAAAATTACTTATTATTTATCGTTATTATGAGCTAAAGTGATCAATTTCATGTTAATTTAATGATTATACTTATCATCAAGCATTTGTATAAATCGGTGTTTTACACCTGTTTTCCCAGCCTTACATGACTTTAAACAGCATTTTAAAGCTGAATGCATGTCTCTTTGGATACCCTCTCCTTTGAGATAACATAACATCAACCCGTCTTGAAATCCATCTTCGAATTTCGAATAACACTTGTACGCTTTAGCCATATCTCTCCTGCAACCAATCGAGCATTGATAACAAGCTCCCAGATGATGACACGCTACCAAATTATTAGATCTCATTGATTGTTGATAACATTGAAACGCCCGTTCATTATCACGAACATGCCAAAGCCCATAACGGTATGAATTCGCCAAGAGAAATTGAGCATACATTTCGTTTTGATCTGCCGATTGTTGGATTAATTTGCGTGCATACTTTTTTTTTGGTTCGGGATAATTGCGAGATACGATCAATGGGTCAACATCGATATCTTTAATCGTTTCGGTAATGATCGAAAAACCAAGAACAGTGATATGCAAAGGCGATGATGAATTCAATAAGATTGCTTGAAGATATCGATCGGATAGATGGTTTTGTTCTAAATAATCTTTAAGCTTTCTACCCATATCCAAAAATGATTCTTCTTGATCAATAGAGATTTTAAAAAGCTGTACCAGTCCTAATAAATATTCAGAATAATATTAGAATTTATTTGATTGTTTTTTCTCTGACTTTGAATTTTACCTCCTGCAATGTTCATTTATTATCTTTTAGCAATGAACAAAAATAGGTCGAAAAATAATAATATGACATAGTACTTTATAGTTTTTTGAACAATTAGAAGAGAAAGTGTTGGAATAAAGTAATTAGCATATAACTGACTGATTAATTGTTTCAAAATTCACAAAATTTTTGTAACGTTAATTCCCAAGAGTTACGCAATATGTCACATAACGTCGATCATGGAACTCGAGTTTTTCAAAAAATATGATTTAGCCAATAATTAGAAAAACGTTTACTGTTCGAGAGTAACTGTTTGAGAGTATATGCATTTTAGTTGTACATGTATATGACTTTTGCCAAGAAGCTAGCGTTAGTATAATTGCGCATGGTTTCAAAAAATGTGTGTGAATCGACAACATACAGATAATGCAAGGGGGTTCATGTGAAGTTTCACAGAATGCTCACGAATAATAGAATTTTATGAATCCGTTCTATGCAAAAGTTCATTTCCCAGTTCACGGAAACAGAGTCGAACGGTTATTTAATGTTGGTTCCGCAACCATCACGCGACCGCTAGGTCTGCGCACTCATCATAAGGAGATTACGAGCCCAAATTCTCAAATTAAGCATAATAATATCGATTTTTAACCAGCATTTGCATTTGTGATGGCTTATTATTGCAAAATGTTTTTGGAAAAAATTAGAAATATAAATAATAATAATTTCAATTAGTACTAATGACATTAGTAATATTGAAATTAAAATTCTTAAAATATTCGCATGAAGTAACTTTTAATTGCACTCCGAGTATTGCTTTTACTAGTATCAAAATATTTTTAGCCCTATGAAAAAATTCGCGGGGAATTGCATCAAAAATATTATGGAATAACTTGGAAATTAGTAAGAACTGCTTCGCGAATTAGCGTAATTGAATCGGAGTATATATTTTTGGAACCGTTCCGGCAAGTTCATGAAATTCCTTAGGATCGACAAATTTTTTATAGGCCAGAATATTAGTAGTTATATTTATTATTTGTAATTGAAATAAGTTTATTTGGACTCGAATAACCCCTCTTAATGATATGGCAACAATTCCAATTATAAAGTCGCACTCAAGGTCTCACTGATTCTTAATACAACCGGCTCTTGATATAAGAAAGCTTTCCGGGTCCATAGTGAAAAATTTCTTATATCAAGAGTTTATTAGTAAATTTCTTATATCAAGAGTTTATTTGTAACTTTCTTATATCGAGTAAATTTATTATAGAGTGATTTTGAGCTTTACTTTCTTATATCAAAGTTTAATTAGTCTTTCTTCTATCGAGAGTCACTTGTATTCATAATGTAGCAGCACTTTAATCATGTACAAATTGTATGGCAGATGTATTTCCGTATGGGCCATACATAACTTCTTATGAAATCTGTACCGTACGTTTTATCGTAGCCTCGTTTTTACAATACGTAACTTCTTTAGACATCTGTAAAGAATTTTATGAAAATATACGGCTCAACCCCACTTTGGTCACACCTCTTATAAGTCACATCCCTCATTATCATTAGACACAACCTTCATTAATCATCAAGAGAAGTCTGACGGTATAAGCCGTAAAGTACGGTAATGCTGTTGAACCAATCAAATATAAATATTTTTGGCACAAACCATATAACTTGTGTGTCTTTGATTCCGCAGAAAATGAATTTTCACCAGTAACTGAAGAAATAAAAACGGTGGAGCTAGTGCTCCAATCGGGTCGGGTTGGGGTCAAACCCGACTCGAAAATATTTCGGGTCAGTCTAAAAATCGTTATTTCTCGTTCAATATTAATTCAAATTAACGAAAATTACATTCCGAACAACTCTACTTAAGACACAAAATACAAATGTCTTAGTAAAAATAAAGTTATTAACGAAAAACTATTTACGATTTTCGGATCAAACCCGACCCGAACCGAATTATCGGTTCAGGTTGACCTCAAACCCGACCCGAACAGGGCTTTAGATGGAGCATGCAAAAGACGATTCGAAAAAAAAATGACGGCTGTTACGGGGTTATTCTAGTGATCAATCCAACTGTATTTTCGAAATATTACCTTTCAGATTATGAAGCAATCCTTTCTATAAATACCAGAAAATAAACAGTAATTGTTGTTCATGTAGCAACCCAACGGGTCAAAGACACAACCCAACAAATTTGCATCTTGATCTTGGAAGGAAGCCATTATTAATCGACCTAACGAGTTCACGAGATCCAATCTGATGAAACATACAAAATGGTCGCAAATTTACTTGTTAGGATAAGCTTCATAGGGGGACATTCGTGTGATTGGCTGATTTTCTTAAGATCTACATCGTAAGATCGATTATACAAATTTAGTAA